GTGATGGTAACCTGATCTCGACTGCTGTCGATGAACCTGATCCTTCACACAACACCTTTCTCTCTAGCACTGACTTATATCGTAGAGGGATAAGTCCATTATCAATCAGAAGGTGGGTGCGCCCCAAGAGTTATACAAATTCAACTGACTTCCTTTTGGGGTGAAGGTAGCAACAAGCATATGCCAACAGATGAAGAATACCATGCAAGACGGTTTGGGTTATGCTCAAGAATATTTGGATGTTGTACTTATTAAAAGTAAGACCCAAAAGCAACATGCAGAAGATGTAAACAAAGTATCTGAAAGAACCAAAGAATATGTTTTTTTTAAAACTAGTAAAGGAAATTGTGAATTGTTTATGTCCAAACTTAAATATCTAGGCCAAATTATCGATGAAAACGTTAGACAGCAGGATCCATCAAGGGCGAGCGCGATAAAGGAAATGGCCGTTCCAACAAATGTAACAAAGTTACAAGAACTTTTAGAGTCTGCTAACTACTATTATGAATATATACCTAACATGCACGAATTAAGAGCACCCTTGAATAACCCGCTGAAGAAAGATTTGAAATGAAATTGAACAGAAAAATGTGATAATGTGCTTTCGAAGTGTTCAAGAAAGTCTTAACATTGGATTTGTCACGAGCTCATCTTGACCCGGAATTAAAGATTGTGGTTACACTATTTGCAAGTGATTTGGGTATTGGAGCAGTGATACTACACCAAATATGAAGACGAAACAACTAAACCTATCGCTAATGTTTCAAGATCATTAAATGCAGTTGAAAAAAGCTAGAGCCAGATAGAAACGGAAACATTGGCCATCATATCTGCTATGAATTTTTTTTTACAAATTCAAACATGGTAGAGAAATCATGCTACAGACAGACCATCGTCCATTATTGTCCATATATGGATCAAAAAATGGTCTTCCCATACATACAGCGAATAGACTGCAGCGCTGGGGAACTATCCTATTGAATAAAATGACATTTCTACCAGCCAAAAACATGAAGAAGGATTGTCTAAACATGTACCAAGATTCTTCGAACCACTTCAAGACACAATCCTTGCGGCGATAAGGGCCGAAAATGAAATTAATAACGAATTATACAATACTGTAAGAGAGCTGTCCATAACAAAAGATTAAAGTAGAAAAAGATGACTTTATAATGAAAATGAAGAAGCAATTAAGATCTAAAGGAAAAAATTATTTGAAATGATGCATTTTCATTATGTAATGATGTACATATGTACACAGAGTGTTGATACCAGAATCGTTGCAAAGACGTATGTTAAAAGAATTTCACATAGGACATCCAGGAATTTCTAGAATGAAATCCTTAATGAAGTGTCATACTTACTGGGCAAAAATGGATCAAAATATCGAAAATTTAGTGAAATCATGCAGAGGTTGTTCTCTGTCAGTAAAGTCACAGCCTGTCAAAATTCAACCTTGGACGAAAACCAATATGCTATGGTCCAGAATACATATAGACTTCGCAGGACTGTTAAACAGAGCATACTATATCTAGTGATAGTCGATAGTTACACTAAACGGCCAGAAATATTAAAATGTAGAAGACTAACTGCCGCGGTAACGATAAATTTCTTCCTCAAGATTTTTGCAAGGTTCGGTCTTTGTTATGATGTTAATTTGGGGTTAATAAAGACAAACGCCAAATAACATGTAACAATAAAATGGGGTTTATTCGGTTGGTAAGTTGGTACATATATCGCCTGAGTAGTCTATAACTAACTCAGCCCAAGAACTTCTCCTACACTGTCTCTTGACATGCCACTAGTTAACGTCCTTGTTTGTAGACGAGTTCATCTTCAAGAGGGGTGGTAGGTTCCTACACAACAGTCTTCCTGACTCAATCGATTCAAATAACGGGACTCAAATCCCATCAAGTGAATTTAAGTGTTTTTGTAAATCATTAGCATATTACAACATATTACAACTCCCGCTTGTCAGTCAAGATGAAACAGACAAGCAAAACAGTTGTCAATGTGTTTAAAAGGGCAATAAAATGTCAGGGGGAGAGGAGTCAGATGAAGGAATGATTCAGTAATTTCTGAATGTTTACAGAATAACATCAAACTCAAACACCGTATCTGGTGTCTGTGTGTGTGAAAACGATTAATGAATTCGACGAAAGCCAATGGGACAATAATCATTACGTAGAGTTTCGTCTTTTCTTAGCAAATCCCAAAAGGAATACACTACAAATATTATGCAAAAAGATCTGAATATGTTATAATAATTCCTTGTCTTTCAAATATATATATATATATATATATATATATATATATATATATATATCAGAATGTAATGAGAACTGAAATAATTCATAAATTCTAACGTTCGCAGCATTAATATGCAACCATGTTTCGGTGTATTTAGTTGCACACACACACACACACACACACACACATATATATATATATATATATATATATATATATGTGTGTGTGTGTGTGTATGTCGTACAAACAG